TTAACATGTTGACATTGGCACAAATTTGTGTTAAGCCACATCCTAATTTTATGCTTTTATTTTTTAATTGGTCATCCTATATGGTCCCCTGAGCACCGCCACGAGCAATTCCTGAGTGCAGAGCCAGGAGTAACCCCTGAGCATCACCGGGTATGACCCAAAAAGAAGAAAAAGAAAAAGGAAAGAAAAGAAAAATTAGTAATCCACTTTTGTAAATGTATTATTTTTTTTTCTCTAGATGGACAGAAGTAGTAGGTAGCAATAAGTGCAATGTTTGGAATATTTACTCAGCACGGTAGATGCTGGCTCTCAGGATTTGAGGTGTGTCACCAAGTCAGAAACCATGATGGGAATTGAGTTTTGGTATGGGGGCAGGCTTGCTCTGCACTCAGGGATCACTCCTGGTGGAACCCAGGTACCATATAGGATGCCAGGGATTGAACTCAGGTTGGCCACATGGAAGGCAAGTGCCCTGATGGCTGTATTGTCTTTCCAGCCCCCAAGACAATACTTTTAAGGCAAAATAACATAAAGTATTTTTAACACATACTATAGTGTCTAACATTCGCACAGAGGTAACAACTGTGAGAGATAGGAAGTTTCAGATTTGCAAAACTTGCTTAATGTCCCACAGTCATTCCACAGTGGTGTCTTTCTGATTCAGTTCGCACAATGTCACCTCCATGGTCTCAGGCCATGACAAAGGAAAGTGGCTGGAGTGATTAAAATAGATCTACTCAGAGGAAAAACGCTCTGGATTTTGCACTCACAGCTCTGAGATGGGATGCCCCTTGAGATGGGATGCCTTTCTTTTTTTTTTCTTTTTTCGCCTTTTGGGTCACACCCTGTTGATGCACGGGGGTTACTCCTGGCTCATGCACTCAGGAATTACTCCTGGTGGTGCTTGGGGACCAATGGGATGCTGGGAATTGAACTCAGGTCGGTCTCGTGCAAAGCAAATGCCCTACCCGCTGTGCTATCGTTCCAGGCCCTCGGGCTGGCTTCTTTAAGAGGGTCATCTGTGGGACTGTGTCCCCGAGCAGGCACGAGGATGTTTCCATAAGTGCTGGCACATGGCAGACATGAGTGAGTCCCAGCACATACCCTGTAGGAAGCGGCGGCGAGGCCAGGATGCTGCCCAGGGGAGCAGGAGTGCGGGCTTGTTCTGTCCCTGTCAGCCTTGCAGCCCCTCCAGAACCCCACCTGCTCAGCTGAACAGACCACCAAGGAGCGTACAGCCATGTGTTGGAGTTGGCACCAGACTTTTTTTTTCTTTGCGTGGCCTTATAACAAGCTTGTCTATTTCCTATTTAAAGAAACGAAAAGGAAAACACCAAGCGGTTATTTTTCACATGCCCACTGGAGGGTTTGTCAAGATAGCGCCGAGCGGCAGCGTGCAGTGACCTGTTGGACAGGAATGTGTGCTGCTTCTCAGCGTGTGCTCAGACTCCCTTGAGCATCTGTTGGCCGGGTGCTTGTTAGAAATCCAAATTGGTGACTTTAGGCCAGAACTCCAGAATCACAGGTCCTGGGAATCTCAAGAATGCTGGAAGAGTGGCTGGGAAAGAGGGCTCCAAGGACAAGAGTGTGTGATGTGCCGGCGGAAGGCCCAAGCGCCAGCCCTGGCACTGAGTCAAGAGTAGTGCCTGAGGACCGTCAGGTGTGTCCCCACCCAGCAGTACTCAGGGTTTACTCCTGGCTAGGCTTTCAGGTATCACTCCTAGTGGTGCCCAGGGGACCATTTGGGGTGCCAGGGATCAAACATGGGTTGACCATGAGCAAGGCTAAGCTCCTTACTCTCTGTACTATTGTTTTACCCCTCCTCTCCGAAAAATAGGAAGAAAGAAAGAAAAAACTTTTAACAGACAAGTAGGGCGTTTGCCTTGTGTATGGCCGGTCCTATTGAGCCGGGTTCGATTCCTCCGCCCCTCTCGGAGATCCCGGCAAGCTACTGAGAGTATCTCGCCTACATGGCAAAGCCTAGCAAGCTATCCGTGCCGTATTCGATATGCCAAACACAGTAACAACAAAGTCTCACGATGGAGACGTTACTGGGCCCGCTCAAGCAAATTAGTAATTATGTAAATGGGGCTGTACAGTGTTAGGTGCTTGCCTTGCTTGCCACTGACTGCAGTTCCTTGGATTCTCTTTACTACATGGTCCCCTAAGCACGACTGGGGTGATGATGACACCCCTAAGCACAGAGGAGAGAGTGGCCCCCACTACTGCCAAGTGTAGCCCAGCACCCACCCACTCCCCAATGATATAAACTAATGCTTGAAAACTACTTATGAGGCTTTAAAAATCATAAAAAGACATTGTTGTGAAGCTGAGGCAGCTTCGCACAACTGAAACTCTATAAGCATCTCATGGTTTCCTCATCCTCAGTAGGGACATAATGGTGAGCTGGCGCTACAGTGCAGTAGGTAGGCATATGTCTTGCATGTGACTGACCCTGGTTCAATCCCTGGCACCCCATCCACATCCCCTGAGCCCACCAGGAATGAACTCTTGAGTGCAGATCTAGAAGAAAGCCCAGTGCACTGCCAGGTGTGGCCCCAAACAGAAAACTAAAATTGGGCGTAATGGGCCAGGGAGATCACTCAAAGGGCTGGTGTGCTTGATCCCAGCACTGAATGGACTCCCTGGCACCACAGGGAGGTGATCGCTGAGCACACGTCTGAGTGGCCCCTAAGCATCACCAGCTGTTGTTCAAAATAAAATGGGGGTCACCTAGAGAATTCTTTGAGGAGCAAATGAATGCAGGCTTACAACTTGCTTATCGCTCTCTGAAACAGTACACATTGACCATTAAGTTAGTGTAATCAGATAATACTTCGATTTTATAAACGCCTGGTATTGTCTTAGTCCTTAATCTTTTAAGATTTTATTTTGACAGGGAGGTATTCCAGTGAGATGATCCTCAGGGGCTGCAGAGACTTCGCACACGGGCACGTGCCCAGCCCTGTGTGCTGTGTCCCTAGCCCAGCATTAGCTTTTGTCACAGCGGTCAGAAATTGTATGGCTTGGACCCAGTTCAACGTTTATCCAATGCCTGTGGATAAAGCAGCATCCTACTGGAGGATGTAAAAGAAATAAGACACGTGTTGTCCTTACAGATACTAAAATCTAACTAATGGGGGAGGGAAACAATAAATAGAGACATATTTGCAGTGGCAAATAGAGACATGTTTGCCATGCATAAATAAGTCAACTTACTTGGCAGAGAACTGGAAGAGGTTGCTCATATATGTGAACTCTGAGAAAGGAATGGCTTTAAAATTGATCATTTTTGCAGATGTGGGGAACCAACCAGGGCCTCATACCTGTGAGGTGTGTAGCCTGCACTCAGCTACGTCCCTTGTCTGAGACAGATCTCTCTGGTGAAGAGCAGAGGGCAGGATCCTGATCCTCGTGCTTCCCTTCCCTTGGCTGTCCTTGCTGATGACCAGGGTCCAGACATATCCCCTTGACTGTGGTGCTCATACATTTTAGACAGGCTTCTTGGGAGTCGCTCTTCCGTTTGCCGAGCGTGCGCACGCTAGCTGTGGTACTCCCCAGAGCGTCCACCTGACTGTGTGCCTGCACACTGCGCACTGGTACTCTCCAGGAGTAAGTACCGCACCTGGTTGTGTGCCTGCATATTGTAGCGGTCCTCCTGCTCACTAGAGCTTACTCTCCAGGAGTATCGAGTGGCGGTTTTATTGCCAGGGGGTGCAAGGATGAGTGCTGCTCAGGCCCTACAGTAACCTTGGGGTTACCTGGGCCACCAGGGCAGTGCTCAGGGGCCACTGGGGCTGCTGGAAGTGCTTGGGGTCCTTCAGGGCTACACCCAGTGATGCTCATGGGATCAGGTACTGGAGATACTGAGTTACCTGCAAACACCTTAGCAGCTAGACTGTCTCCTGCCCCTCACCTTATTTTTTTGAAGCTCAGAGATTTACAGTATGCTTTTGCTTGTTCATATGTTGTTGAGAAAATAATAGATTATGTTATATTTTTTTGCAAATACCTTTAAGAGGCACTTATGTCATAAAACTGAAATTACCCAACAATAGGAGGAGCGGGGAGGAAAAGATAGATTCTAGGTGCTGTAAGCGTGGTTCTTTGGTGGTACTGAAGCACAGTCAGTGTTGTCATTAAAACCAGCAAGGCTGGGGCTGGAGCAATAGCACAGCAGGTAGGGCATTTGCCTAGCACACGGCTGACTCGGGTTCAATTCCCAGCATCCCATATGGTCCTTCGAGCACCACCAGGAGGAATTCCTGAGTGCAGAGCCAGGAGTAACCCCTATGCATCACTGGGTGTGACCCAAAAAGAGAAAAAAAAACCCAGCAAGGCTAACTCTTTGAAACCAGGTTGCCTAATCTATAATTTTTCTGAGATTCAAAAAACAATGGGAAGGCTCATGCTCTGATGCCATAATCACAGTTTGAGAAATGACTTATTCTTGCACACAGATTTTCTTTGTAGCATCAGCAGATATCCACCACTAGGACAGGGACTAATTTATTGATTTGGGGGTGTAACCATATTGTGAAATTGCTACTCGGTTATTAGAGAATGCAGCGTCTGCCTGTCCTGATGGAACGATGTCTGTGTAAGAAAGAAAGGGAAAGACCATGCATAGAGTGTGCGTGCTATAATCTGGGTACTTTCTCGTAAGATACTAAACTTGAATCTCTCTAGATTATTATTGGAAAGACATCCAGATGCTAGTGACGGGGGTTACTGCAGAGACAGGGAATGAATGGCTATGGGTCAGGGGCAGGAGGAAGACATTCTTTTTCTCTGAAAGACTAATGAAAAACACTATAGCAGTTGAGATGAATGTTTCTCAGTGAAATTAAGGAGGGAAGACTAAAGGATAAAAAAACACTTCATGTTGCTTTTATCTAACAGTTTTTAAAAACTGAATGGGTAATTGTAACATCTCTTTCTATGAGAAACATATAATTACTCCATAAGTGGAAATAATATCCTGCTATTGTTATTTTTAGGTGGTGATAGTGGACTGGATGGTTTGGGAGGACCAACAGGTGTACAGCTTGGAAGTCCAGATAAGAAAAAACGCAAGACAAATGCACAGGTAAGTTGACGTTCCTGTAATAACGTATTTTTTCCTCTGCTTATGTGATTACCCTAATGACAAAATTTGAAATCTGGTCATGGGTTTTACTTCCTATACATATTCAGAACCTAACCCTGAATTCTGCAACGACTGTTTCTTTTTTGTTTGTTTTGGGATCACAGCTGATGGGACTTACTCCTGGCTCTGCTCAGGGATCACTTCTGCTGGTGCTCGGATGATCTTAACTGTCCTGTGCCAGATTCAGACAGGGATGGACCTCATGCGAAGCAAGCCTCTTACCCCTACTATCTTTCTGGCCCAGTGATTGTATTTTTAACTTTGTTTTATAAGTCTGCAGCTTGTGGTTTTTCTTGGGCTGTAGGCCTACAGTGAATATGGGAAGAAAGAAAGAGCAGAAAAGCTCAAATGCTTCTATTCACATCTAGTTTTTGTTTTCCTGGCGGTGCTCGGGCGACCATATGGGATGCTGGGAATCAAACCCACGTGCAAGGCAAATGCCCTACCCGCTGTGCTATAGTTTTAAAAGGTATAAGTGCCTGTCATTCTAAAAAAAGTTTAAAATGTATGAAGACAAGTTGTCACTAAGTAACATTTAAAGAGTCCCAGTGATCCTGTGCCGTGGTACTGCTGTCCCAGCGTTACCATACGGTACCACCTTTAGTCATCAATAATCTGTACTTCGAAACACAGATTATTTTGTGAATAATACAGATCAATAATCTGTATTACTATAAACAAGTTGGGGGGGAGCACACCCCGCAGTGCTCAGGGATTACTCCTGGCTCTGCACCTAGGAGCACCTTCTGGTGTTGCTCGAAGTTGGAGCCAGGGATCAAACCCAGGTTAGCTTCATTGCAAGGCAAGAGCCTTATCCTCTGTACTCTCTCTGGCCGCCACATACTGGCTTATAGGCACCTATGTTTTAGAGTTGAATCACGGTTTTATGATGTAAGCTGAGAGTACATGTGATATGTGTGCAGATTCCTTTTTTCATTTTTCGGCTTTGGCCTCCCATCTCTCCAGCCTACAGTGCGATTAAAACTGGAAGAGTTTCCCAGTCTGAGACTGAGAGCTTCGTGCTTTGAAAATGCTTCCTGGCTACTCCTTAAAAAAAAATTTGATGCTGTTTATTGTTCTTTAACTTGATGGCTATTTGGAAATAGAAGACAAATTTTAATTAGAATTTAAAATGTCCAGTTCTAGAATTCAGGGCATGTATAGTAAATAAAAATCATGCTCCTGAAGCTTAATTTTGAAGGGGGAAATGCATTTGGAGTTTGAAGTAAAAACAGATTTGCACTACAAAAGCATTTTTTTATTTATCTTGCTTAGTGATAGAAACCTACACGATTTTATCATGAACTGTAATGAAATATTAGGCATTAAACGACCAAGTAAAGGATTAAATTTTTGTTAACACCGCAAGAGAAATCTTACCAAACTAGTTTCCTAAATGTTAAGATAACGGGATAATATGTTGCGGTTGTTTTTGTTTTCTTCTCTATTTTATTTTCTGGTTTTTTTTTTGGGGGGGGGGCACACTTGGTGATGCTCAGGATTAATTCCAGGTTCTGTGCTCAGGAATCACTTCTGGTGGTGCTCGAGGGATCATATGGGACGCTTGGAGTCGAACCTGGGTGGGTAGCACGCAGGGCCAGAGCTTTCCCGCTGTGCTGTCACTCCAGCCCACTGTTACGGTTTTTTTTTTGTGTGTGTGGGGGGGCCACCCAAGCTGTGCTGAAGAGACTCCAAGGCTCAATCAACCAGCTGACCCGCAGTTCGTTTTGCGGGCCCTCCCTCCCGCAGCCAGGGACACGTGCAGACTGGGGGCCTGGGAGACCCTTCTGGAGGTGGTCGGGGGCCTGGAAGGCAGACCCCACCGTGCAGAGCCAACTGCGAATCCCAGCCGTGGAAGCGTGGTGTGCCTTAACCCCTGCCCCAAGCAGGAACCAACCAACCAACCAACCAAACAAACAAACAAACAAACAAAAAACCCATGTAATTGTCTTTCATCGGAACCTTGTCTCCTCCTTGGTCTTCCCGTTTCAGGGCCCTTCCTTCCCTCCGCTCTCGGAGTACGCGCCACCGCCAAACCCGAACTCGGACCACCTCGTGGCGGCGAATCCCTTCGACGACAGCTACAACCCCGTTTCCTACAAGCCGGTGCCGTCGGCCGCGGGCGCGTACCTGGGCCCCGGCTACCCGGGCCTGGGCGGCGGCGGCGGCGGCGGCGGCTACGGCCCGTTCCGGATGGCTCCGCACGCGGCGGCGGCCCGGGCGGCGGCCCCCTACGGCGCGCCCTACCCGCTCCGGGGCCAGCCGCACCCGCACCCGTTCCCGCAGAACGCGCTGGGCCTGGGCTTCGGCCGCCCGCACGCCCTGAACTTCGCGCCCCCCCGACGGCGCGGGCTTCGGCAGCCCGGCGTTCGGCGGCGGCGGCGGCGGGCTGGGCCAGAACCAGAACGCCGGGCTGCCCAACCAGCCGCACTTTAGGCCGGCGCCGGCCGAGAGCTTCGGGCCGCCGCCCGCGCCGCCCGCCGCGCCGCCCGACCTGGCCTTCGCGCCCGCGGGTGGCAGCTCCGCCTTCGCGGCGGCGGCGGCGGCAGGTGCCCTGGAGCCCGGAGCCGCCGCCGCCGCCGCCGCCTTCCTCCCCGCGCCCGGAGCCTTCGCGCACGCCAAGGCGCCGCCCGCCAGGCCCGACTTCGCCCCGGCCGCGCCCAGGCCCGCGGCGCCCGCCCCGCACCTGGGCCTGGACGAGGCGGCCCCGGGGCCCCCCGAGCCCAAGGGCGCGGGCCGGCCCGGCGCGCCCGCGGAGCCCGGCCGGGGTGGTAGCAGCGGCGGCGGCGGCGGCGGCGGCGAGGCCAGCGCCAGCGCCAGCGCCAACGGGACGCAGCCCCCGCCCGCGCCGCCCCGGGCCGCCCCCGCTCCCGACGGCGCCGCTGCACCAGCAGCCCCCGAGAAGGGCGCCCAGGCCGCCGCCGCAGCCGCAGCTGCGCAGCCCCCGCGCCTCGGGCCGGCCGCCGAGCCCGTGTACCCGTGCGGCATCTGCACGCGCGAGGTCAACGACGACCAGGACGCCATCCTGTGCGAGGCCTCGTGCCAGAAGTGGTTCCACCGCGTGTGCACGGGCATGACCGAGACGGCCTACGGGCTGCTGACGGCCGAGGCGGCCGCCGTGTGGGGCTGCGACGCCTGCATGGCCCGCGACGATGTGCAGCTCCTGCGCGCGCGAGAGCCCTTTGGGCGCCCGGTGGCGGGCAGCGGCGACGCGTAGCTAGCGGGGCGCGCGGCGGGGGTCCCCGGAGGGCTGGGACGGTGACAGTGGGACACCCCCCCCGGAGATGCATAGGGCGCATCACTCCTGCCTCTGCACTCAGGAATCCCTCCTGGCGCTGCTGGAGGACCCTTTGGGATGCAGGAGGCAAACGCCCTCCCCGCTGTCCAGCCCCACGGGAAGACGGTTTTTGCCCTCCAGTTGTCCTTCTCTTGTGCTTCATCACTAGTGCAAAGTCTGTCATGTCTTCGTTTGCCCCCTTCAAAATGATGCACACGGAGAGGCTTTAGACGAGGGTTAGGAAGGGGAACGGTGGCATTTATGATCAGCATCAAGGCCTCCTCAAAGCTTCAGACTCATAGAGCAAAGTAGGCGAGTTTTGACTTTTTTGACAAGTTAGAGTGGTTGCGGAAAATGTTGATTTCCGTGCTGGACTTTGGTGATAGCACATTATATGCATTTAGTTCGAGACTTAGCCCCCCCCCCCTCCCCCAGGAGCTACTTAACGTTTTCAAAACGAAATACACATAACTGTAAAGAAAGCATATAAATTAATGGGTACTAATAGAATAAGATTGTGATGCCAGATTTTCCTCCCCCCTCTGGGGTTCTTAAACTTAGTGGCTTTCACATTTCCAAGTCAGGATTTCCAGGGTATCTGTTTGTACAGGTATGAAACAGGTGTTAGCATGTGGTAGACGCTTAGTGTTTGTTAACTAATCTGTGGATTGTACCACACAAAATTGACTGTACTGGATTAACTGAAAATTGCAATCAGGAGACTTGAGTTTCTAGTTGTGCTACTTGAAACTTAACAGTGTCATCATGCTCTTCATTTTCAATTATTGAGTTGTTTTGCTGTTGTGTTCCAGAGAAATAAAGGATAACAGTATCTTCAAAAGAATCTTAAATACTTTAAGAATATATTTTTAGCTGAGACATACTGCAAATGAGGTAAGTAGAGTCGCCAATTCAGCTTTATGAGACTCTTGCTAAAGAACTGGGTGGTGATTTGGAAGATTGTTTTGGGACCCCTGAGTTTGAAAATGAACCCTGGGAGCCAGGGAGGCAGTTCAGGAGAAAAGCACACACCTTGCATGAGACTTAGATTTAACCCCCCCCCCCCCCCAAAATGAGCTTTGGTGCAGATAAAAACTCATTTTAAGCAAAGATCAGTGAAGAGCTAGCATGAAAGCAAACTCATAATTTGATCCCTTGTAGCAGAAAAAATGTTCTGCTATGACTGGGAAGTATAAAAATGGACCTTCAGAGTGCTGACTTCGGGACCGCCCCCAGTGGTGCTTATGGGCCTCTCTTGACTCTGCTCCGGGATTGCTCCCAGTGGTTCTTGGCGGACCATATGGTGCCAGGTCTGAGTCTCCAGCATGCAAAGCCTGTGCACTAAGCACTTGATCTCTCTCTCCCAGGCCTTGAAAGAATACTATTTTTTAATCAATCATAACTTCAGACCAAAAAAAGCAGTGATGGCAGTTTACATAATGATTCAGTATTAGTAAAGCACCTAAATTCATGCGATCAGGAATGACTCCCGAGCACCAAGATGGGAGTAACCCCTGAGCACTGCCAGTGTGACCCCCCCCAAAACCAAAAACAATTATGCACGAAAAGTTTGCTTTAAAGAACTTCCTCTGGTTAATAAACATGAAGCCGCCCTTTTACATGACAGCACATGGCCCCAGCATGCCATGAGCCACAAAAGCTAATTGAAGTTTTGTCATATTTTATCATGGGCTGGAGCGATAGCACAGCGGGTAGGGCGTTCGCCTTACAAGCGGCCAACATGGCCGACCCGAGTTCGATTCCTCCGCCCCTCTCGGAGAGCCCGGCAAGCTACCGAGAGTATTCGATATGCCAGACACAGTAACAACAAAGTCTCCAATGGAGACGTTACTGGGCCCGCTCGAGCAAATCGACGATCAACGGGAGGGCCTTTACCTTACCTTACCTTATCATGTCTGTAATAATCACCGAATCTTTACCCGGCAAGCTTCCATCTTTTCAGCATTTGGAGTTTTGTTTTTAAGAAACAGTTTTTTGGCAAGAGAGATTGGATAGGAGCTAAGGCCCTGGCCTTGCCTGCACCCCCTGTAGCTCCCTGACACCACATGGTCCAGAGGAAAGAACCAGAAACAGCCCCCGAGCACTGCTGGCCCACAAATAAAAGCCATGCGAATGGAGAAACAACATTTCCCAATTGATAAGCAGTCATTAGGAGATTTGAGTAAACCAACAATTTATGCGTTTTACAAAAATGAAATTTAATATCCTGTTAGAATTATTACTGCTCATAATACATATTTTGATGCATATGCATAAAGATTTTTTAATAGCAGTTTAATTTTGACCTCACAAACACAAGTTTCATGTAGCACAAAATAATAGGTTTTCTCCATGTGCTTATGACTAGTTAGAGTACAGGATATGCCCAAGAGGGTCAGAAAGGATCATATGTAGGGCTCTTGCCTTGCATGCAGTGGACCCAGGCATGATCCCTGACACTGCAGATGGTCTCCAAGCACTACCACTAGTGACCCCTGAGCACCTCCAGGAGAGCCAGGAATAAACCCCAGCCCTCCACCCCAAATTGCAATCATTGTAAAAAATGTCTTTTCAATTTAAGAAATGAAGTTACATAAACTCTAGTACTGGGTTCTCTAGTACTGTGTGTTGGAAGTATCATTCGAAGCAAATTCAAATGCGGTATTTGAAACTAACTCTTAATATTTGACATGTGCTGAAGCATGCTTGAAGATTCCCTTCTGCTTACATCACTTTAGAGACACAGTTTTCTAAATGTTTTGAGGTATCTAGTCATTTTGTTCTTGACATACTAGTGAGTCACTATATCCAGTATTCCCTGTTTTAGCATCAGTTATCTTTTTTGTGTGTGTTTCTGAATACAGCTAGTCAGTATGTAGAATACTTGTATTCTAAGGTGTCAAGACTACATGGTAGTACTTGAGTTATACTCATTGATAAAATTGACTTGTAGTTTCTAGTTCACAGTATCAGTAATTTGGTGAAAATGAAATAACCTCTCCCAAGCTAGTTTTAAAGATGCTTGATTTTTTTCTTTCATTTTTATTTCCACGTGATGGTCTTTTAAAACTTAAAACTAATGAATTTTCATTAATGTATTTAGGTCTTCAAAGCATCTTACATAAATAAAGTATGTAAAGACTCAAAAGAAAAATCCCAGTTTATTCTGAAAATCATAGGCAAATTATAATCTGGCTGGTGAATGGCTTTATGTACTTGAGTTAATTTTCATACAAGTCACACATTTGTCAACAAATAAGTCAAAACATGTCTTTTGGAAGGAATGTTTGAGTACAGAATATGCCCAATAGGGTCAGAAAGGATCATAGGTAGGACTATAGATGGCCTGTACCACAGAACCAACTTGCTCTGTTTGACCAGCAGAAGACTACTATGTAAACTGATACTCCTTGCTTGCTTTTTTTTTGGGGGGCCACCCCCAGCAGTGCTCAGAGCTTATTCCTGGCCCTGAGCTAGGGGTCATTCCTGGAAGGCCCTATGAGGTGCCGGGATCCAACATGGGTCAGCAGGTGTGAGGCAAGCACCCTACCTGCTACATTGTTGCTCCAACCCCTGATGTGGCATTCTTATTTTGAAATTTATTGCTCTACGCTTTAAAAAATATTCAGTGGTGGAAAGTAATGCCTGTATAGCACTAGCATCACACCTTTTTGCTGTGAATCTTTTTTTTCCCATTGAGTGACTTTATCGTGTGCGTACAAAGGCACATACACAACAGAGCAGAAAATCTTGGAGTTTCTTCTACCTTTCCAAGTTTACCCAAGTCCAGCCTGACTGATAAGCTGCAGTGAGGCTTCTCACTAAGGCCAAGATACTGACCCAAAATTCTACAGCATCAGCTCCTTTCTCAGGACTTGTTTATTTCACTAAAGAATTTCTGGTCCACTTGCTTCTAGATGCTATTTTACTGGACTCACTAATACTCAAATAAATTAGCTGGTAAGAGAAAAACAAATTATTCTTCGGATAGAGTGCTTAGAACTAGATTTGTGATCTGTGTTTTCCTTTTGTGTGAAATACTTCGGAGTAATGATATTCTGAGTATTGTTATTCAAATTAGGTCGTGTATATAAAACAAGATTTTCTTGTACTAAATCTGGTTCTTCATATACTAGTGTGTTATTCAAAATCAGTTTTTTTAGTGTTTTGTTTTTTCTTTTGGATTCCCAACTCTACCTTCATGGTAGGTGGGAAAACTCACTAGTATGGGTTGCCATGAATTGTGTTGACTTTAATTTCAAAAAAATAAATATCAGGAGTCTTCATCAAATACTCTTTCAGACATGCTCATCTTAAGCATTCTAATAAAGACAGTCCAACTCTCGTAGTAATTGCATTTGATAGTGAAATTAATAAGCAGTGATTTTAAGGGAGCTCACATACATGAGCAATTTGTGAAATTTTTTATCTTTTTTTTTTTTTTAGTTTTTTGGGTCACGCCTGGTGATGCACAGCGGTTACTCCTGGCTCTGCACTCAGGAATAAATTGCGTTGCTCAGGGGACCATATGGGATGCTGGGAACTGAACGTGGGTCGGCCATGTGCAACGCAGACGCCCTACCCACTGTGCTATCACTCCAGTCCCAATTTTTTATCTTTTTAATTAAAAATTAAAAACATCCTGACTCCCAAAATTTATTTGTAAATAGTGATTTGGAACTCTGTATAAAATTATCTGAACCTTAGGAAATCTCATAAAGGCTTAAACTCTAGGTTACTTAACCTACCATGGTGTACTGGATGCCCCCCTTTCTAGGAACTGACCCTTGTAGAGGGAGAAATAAGCAATGGTTAATCCTTTCCCCTGATGTGATTCAAGAAGGTGAAGTTCTTTGGTGCATTTCCCACCTGCCCTGTCACCATCCCAAACTCTCTGGTGACAGGCTATAGATAAGATTTTGTGCTTTTCATTTTCCAGCCTTTTCTCAGAACACCCTGGTCTCTGAGATGCTTTGGTGGGCTACATTGGAAGGGAAACGTGTTTCACGCCAAAGTGTGGACAAAGATAGTCAAGAAAGTGGGATTACATTTCTTTGTCCTGTTTAAGAGCTGTCTACTGCAGCTTCAGATGCACATTTCAGTCACCATGGGAAACAGTGTCTAAAAAGTACTTTCCAATTCTTCCTTCAATTGTCGGAACTTTTTAGTTTTCTTCTACTTCTGATCTCTGAAGTTTTCTTCTCATTTCCAAATGTTGGAAACTTCCTCTTTTCTCTGTTTCATTCATCGTTCAGTAGTCACATCTACGTCCTCCCAGCATGGTATGGCGGTGGGAGCTTAGAGACACCCCTAGTGGAAGGAGGCAGTGATGGGAACTTCACGTCACTCAAGAAAAGTTGCTCTTCAGGAAACAAAGGGAAGCCAGCTAGATCTTAGCCATCCCTTACAAAATCCACCAGATGCTCCCTGATTTGACACTTCCTATCAAATCCAATTGATCAGCTGCATCTTCCTCATATTTTGTGAAAACCATGTTACTTGCAACTATATCAAAATGTATTCTAAATATCTGTACCTTTCTTGTTCGGTAGAAGAGATAGATGATGTTGCTTGTTAGTCTAAATATTATCTTTTATAAGAGAAAGTCCTGCTTCTTACCATGATGTATGTGACTTAAATGACTGTTTCATATTAAAACTATTTCTTCTTTATGTACTGTTTACATATACCTCTTTTTGGGATATTAGTTCAGTACTTTTATACAAAACTGAGTGTGTTCCACATTGGTGACATGTATTTTTGCAGTATTTTTCGTTTTGGTCGTAGAGCATGTCTGAAGTAACACATGCACTAGTACTGTGGTTTGTGGCA